ATGTTTACTTACTGAGATATTTTTATCTCACAGTTTCCTTGTTCGCCATTTCAGGTAGTGAGACCCGACGTGTGGGAAGTCCGAGGGAGTGACGAGCTAAACGGCTAGGCACTTTTGGATTTAGTTTTGTAGCTAGGCCGCTAGTCACCCATGCTGACTTAGAAATTTTGTGTACAGAACTCTTGTAGTTATAGTAAGGATTGTATGGATGAATTATAACTCCTTGTACACTTGATGAGTAAATATGTAGAAAGAAAAAAGAAATTAGATATGACCTGAATTATCTGAATTAGTAGCATGAACTTAGTAAGTTTCGAGCCTTGTGCATTGCGGGACTCGTTCCCGAGTGCACGGCGTCTGTTTCGCTCTCGGTTTGGGGCGTGACAATTCTAAAGACAAAAACAATTTATGAAAATACCCTAAGAAGAATTAAAGAAAATGGGAAAATCCTTTCTCAAGAGTTTGATTCTATTAAGGAAAGAATAAATAATGTCAAAAACTCTAGAAATTTGAAAGAAATAAAAGAAGAAATAAGGTATATTAAAAACTCAAAGACTCTGATATCTTGAATAAAAGAGATAAAAATCAAAATAGAAGAAATTTTCAAGATATTAAAAATAATCGCTGAAAAATTTGCAATGAAAGCTTAAAAATGTATAACAAAATAATTCCACAACTAGAAAGTGAAATAGATAAAAATTTTTATAAGATCCAAACACAACTTAAGGATCTACAAGATACTATAATATCAGTCTGTAGTAGGTGAAATATTGTAGATAGAAATGAAGGATTTAAAATAATCCCAAATATTTTCATGGAAAAGCTTAAATCAAAAGGGATAACACTTTTCATGTTAAAAACCCAAGAAGAAAAATTGAAAGAACTTGAACAAAAATTCTTAGACGAAGAAAATGTAGAAGAACTAAATAATCTATGCAGACAGATTGCTATAACTACTAAACAATTAGAAAATATAAAAATGAATACCCAAAAGGAGGAAAGAAAAGAGGAAAGTGAAGAAGAAAAGGATGAGACACATCCTAATATAACCCCAACAAAATTTCCAGTGCCACTTGGAGTAGAATCCAACATAAGTCAAAGCTATAGAAAAAATAGAAATCTAAACATGAAGTGATATATGATAAAAAGACTAAAAGATTTGGGAATCAATCTAGACTTGAAACGTTAGTAAGAATCAAAGAACAAATAATTAGTACTAATGGTATTTGGCTAGATCTAGATTGTGTTACCACCCCAGAGAAGGTCATTAGTGACTAGGCCCAAGCTACTTGAATAGCCATAGCAAACAAAAATTGGAATGCTTTACAAACAGTTAGATTTATTGAAGTCAACTTTAAAGGGATAATTCATGACTAGTTTGCTGGTCTAAATGAAGAAGACAGTAATGTTATTATAAGTGGAAATCCTACTTCAAAAGAAGTTAATGAAAATGAAGTAATTCAAGACAAAATAAATAGGTTTGAATCAGCCATTAGGAGAGAATTCTTAGGAGAAAATTGGGAAGAAAATCAAATAAAAAAGGAGGCTAGAATTGGAAGAATAGTAGTGTGGAATTTGTATAATTTAGAATTATGTAATCTCTATGAATTAGATTAATAAATTTGTTTATTTCAGAAATACTATTATAAAGCTTCAAATCATGGAATGATCAAAGGCCTCATGGAATTGTTCTTTGGAAAATTTCCTAATCCTTGGGGAATAAAATTGACAGAAGCCTATAGAATATATGTAGAAGATAAGAAAGATACTTTAGGGTTAGGATTGGGTTTGCTAAAACCAAAATTAATGAATGGTGCCTAGAAACCTATAGCTAGAACAAACTAAGGAAAAGTATGAAAAAGGGACCATGTTGTCCTAAGAATAGTGATCCAATCACTAAGAGTCTGCATAGTATTCCTACCTTTATGGTAAGCAAATTTAAGAGTTAATGGCTTAGAAAATTATACATGCCTCTAAGAGTCTGTATAGTAGTCCTACCTTTATGGTAAGAAATCATAATAAATTAAAAAGAGAAAAAGCTAGAATGATTGTCAACTATAAACAACTTAATAGCAAAACTAAATTTGATGGTTACTTTTTACCACATAAAGAAACTCTAATAAATTGCATTAGGGGAAAGAAAATTTATTCAAAGTTTGATTGCAAATCAGGATTTTGACAAATTAAGCTAACTTTTAACAGAATCTCACTAACAGCCTTTAGTGGCCCTACAGGACACTATGAGTGGTTAGTAATGCCTTTTGGATTAAAAAATGCGCCTCAAATATTTCAAAAAAGGATGGATAATGTATTTTCTTCCATCAAGAAATTTTGCATAGTTTATGTAGATAACATACTAATCTTCTTTGATAATGAGAAAAAAACATTTATGTCATCTTCAAAAATTTGGATATTTATGCAAGAAACATGGAATATTACTTTATGAAAATAAAGCAGAAATAAAAAAAAAAAAAAACCAAAATTGAATTCCTTGGATTAACAATAGATTCCACAAGAATAGAATTACAACCTCACATTAGCAAAAAGATTTTGATGCTCCTAGATAAATTAGAATCTAAAGAACAAATTCAAAGGTTTATAGGAATACTCAATTATGCAGAGTAGTTTATTCAAAACCTAGCTCAATTAAGACATCCTTTGCAAAAGTTGCTCAAGAAAAAGGAAAATCAACAATGGGAAACTTATCACACTAATCATGTGAAAAGAATAAAAGAATATTGCAAAAACCTTCCTAGGCTACAATTGCCTAAAGAAGATGAAGAGTTAATTTTAGAATGTGATGCCTTAGATTTTTATTGGGGAGCAACTTTAAAAAATTCTTAAGAAAAAGTTTGTAGATATGCTAGTGGTACATTTAAAGATATAGAAACTAGATATCATTCAAATCATAAAGAGTTATTGGCTATTAAAAATGGAATAAAAAAGTTCAGTTTCTTCTTATTACCAAAACATTTTAAGGTTAGAACTAACACTCAAGTTAAGGGATTTATTTTTTATAAATTACCTTTAACACTAGAATAGAAAAGACTAAATAGATGGCAAACTTTCTTTTGCTAAATATGATTTTGAAATTGAACATGTCAAAGGAACTAATAACTGTCTTGTAGATTTCTTGAGCAAAGAAGGAGCTAATGGATGCAATCCTAAAACTCCAAAATAAAGGGAAAGACCTTATTCTCAAAGGTCAAAAGATACTCATTGAGGGCAATAGCCAAATAAGAGAAGGCCAAGAAAAAATGATTGAAGGCCAAGAAATAATTGATGAAGGCCAAGAAATAATTGATGAAGGCCATAACCTTATGGATGAAGGCCAAAAAAGGATTATTAAAGGCCATGAGTTATTAAATAAGGGACAAGATGCCCTTGAAGAGTTCAAAGAGCTAATAAAAAATTAATGAGTTATAGAGTAATTACTATTGTTGGAATTAGCTCTAAAGAATCTAGCTAGATGGCAAAGAAAAGCTCCCAACAAGAGCTAAAAGAAAATTTTGAACAAGGTGATCCTTTAGTAGGATTACTTGGAGAAAGTTCAGGAAAGTTTGACTATTACGTCAAATACTCTTCCTTAGAAAAATTAGCACCGCAACCTAAAAAGTCGGCTATTCAAAATGTCAAAAGCCATAACTTTCGACCTGATTACTCAAGAAAGAAAGAAAAGAAAGCTACAATAATAGACACCTTATCAAAAATAAAAATGAGTGAAGAATATTTGTAGGAATACCGTAGAGTTTGTAAAATGGCATATTCAATGAGGTCCACTAAGAATTGCCATCCTATCCATGAAGGGATTTATCCCAGAATTAATTTCATGCAGGGTACAAACCCAAAAGCAATAAAAGAGTTATTCAATTACGGTTTTGTAAATTGTATTCATCTCTCAAAGGATAATGAAGAAGTTTTAGAACTTCCAGAAGCTATATGCCAAGGAGTGAAAGACTTTAAAACTTGCACCAAATCTCAAGGGATAATATTTTTCAAAATCTACTCTGCAGCACTAGAATGGGAGAAATCTCAATATTTCCCCAGTCATCATATAGTTCAAATTGGAATCCAGTCTAAGAAAATCAAGGTAGAAGTGAATGAAGATCAAAATTTTCAAGACTTTGAAGAGTCTCTTTGTGGGATTAAGTTCATCCAAGAGAGATGAGCTTTAGGATTCAAGGTTTTACTCCAGACCTTTGACAGAATGATAGAGATGAGGAAGACATGGACATATGGCTTCTCCAAAGAAATTTCGGTGGTATCCGCTAGTGCAAGATTAATGACAAGCATTAGCTTATTCAAAATAAAGCAAAAAAGAAAGGAATTCTTTGAAAATTTGGTCCCAGCTAGTAAAGTAGTCTATAATAGACTATGCAAACTGTTAAAGCATGACAACTATTGTGGTTTCTACTACAAAAAATAATCTACAAAAGGAAAAGTTAAAGCCCCATGTGACAAAGGGACCACCCCCTCAAACAGTGAAGAGGATCTCATCATCCTTGAAAGAATCCAATGCAAAAAGACATAAGGGCTTATGTCACTAAAGAAAAAGAAAAGTGTTTGCAAGATTCCATGTAATCTGCTTTAGCAAAAGTAAGAAGTAAGTTTGGATCACCAGACGATAATTTAAACTTTAATCGTTAGCAATGACGGAAGAAAAAATTCTAAGGAGCATTATAAAAAACCTCTTATAAGTTGTAACAGGTATCGGGCATTTGAATATCCAAATATCTTACCTGAAAACCTCCTACTATGCATCTGTAAACACCTTTCAAAAGGAAAGGGAACTTTCCCTTTCTTTTTGTAATACCCCAAAATTTTGTGATATTTAGCATTAAGTTAGGGACTTGTTTGAGAAAAAAATATTGTTTTGAGCTTAATAGCCAAAATATCCAAAGTTAAGGGACTTAAAAAGGCAAAATTTGGATAAGGATGAGCTTCTTTGCTTTTCTTTTTTTTTTTTTCTTTCTTTCTTCTTTCTTCCCCAGCCATTTTGCGTTCTGCTCTTCTTTCTTCCCGCTGCAGCCACCTGAAAGAGAAAAAAAGGGGAACCCAGCCATGCCTTGGAAAATCGGTGAGAAAGCTTGGTTTTTGGCCTTCTTTTCTTGCTCTAAAACACAAATTGAACCTAGAAATTCTCCCCCTTGCTGGAAAATCCAGATCTGCTTTGGTTCTGTTTGTTGGCTGCTCTTGTTGTGGGGGCGAAATTCTTCAAATTCCGGTAAGCCACAGCCATGAATCTCCCTTCTCTAGCTTTGAATTGCGTTGGGTTACCTTAATTTCTCTTGGTTCTCCAATTTTTGGGTAGTTTCTGTGAGCTTCCCCCTGTACTACCGTCGGCTTCTCTCCCAAACTGCAGCTCGGTTTTGCTTGCTAAATTATGGTATGTGATGGCCCTTTTAAGGCTTAAATTATTCATTTAGTTGCTGGCTGTGTTGTCCGAATTTGACAGAAAATTGAGGAGGAATTCCGGTAGCTTTAGGACAAATTTAAGCATTAATTCAAGTGGGGTTTATATGATTGAGTGTTAATTGACTGCTATGTGATTTTTGGAGAAAATCCCATGAAATTAGCTAGTGGTTTGGGCAATTTTTGGAAGTTGGAGTTACTGTTCATGTCGTGGTTACTGTTCACACACCGAGGGTCAACAATTAATGGGGATTTAAATGTTTAGTTTGTGATATAAGAACAAATGTGGAGATTGATAGGAATAGCATCGTGATTAGGGGGGAGTCATGATGATTTCAGTTTGAATTTGTGGTAGTGTGGAATTAATTCTTGAAATATTTTGATTAGGTTCCCGATCGTTCTGTCAGTTAGCACTGAGATCGAGTTTTTGGTTTTATGTGAGTGAGGTAAGTAAATTTATGGTAATGCCCGTATAGTTTTTAAAAGCATGTTTTGATTTGTTTTTGAAGTGGTGGCGGGACTAAACCCGTTTTACACGAGTATGGCTGATTTGAAGTGAAATTTTTATGTTTTTCATTAAATTGAGCATGCCTACTTGAAATTTAATTGAATGTCCTGATGATTTGAAAGTGATTGGTGAATTATGATTTTTCTGTTAACTTTTACCTGTTTTGTTTCCGATGTGGTTATGTTATTGATAACCCTGCTAGTGGGGGTTAAACGCTAGCACATGTCGACATGTTACTGATAGAACCGGTTTGTTTCTGTTGCCCTGCTAGTGGGGATTATACACCAGCAAATACTGTAGCCTGCCAGTGGGAGGTTTATAACACTGGCCATGACCTATAGAGGAGACATCTATTTCGTTCCCGCATTGTAACCGTTTTTCGTGATTATACTTGTTGGCATGCTATATGTTTAATTAAGGGCAATCCATATTTTACTTACTAAGTTTATCTCATAGTTTTTCCTTGTCCACCATTTCAGGAAGTGAAACCGAGGACGGGGAAACTACGGGAAGTGACGAGTTAAAAGGCTAGCCATTTCAAGATTGATATAGATTTTAGATATAGATCATGATCTTGTAAACTGGATTTTAATTGGAGATTTATGATATTAGAGCAAATTATAGAATTTTATCTTCAGATTTTGATGGTATCAGATTATGATATGACAAGTTCCGAGCCTTGTGCATTTGTGGGACCCTCTCACGAGTGCACGGCGTCTGTCACGTCCTCGGATTTGGGTTTTGGGGCATGACACTTTTCTTAGAAATAAAATCATGTTTTAGAATAATTCTTGTGTTTCTATCCTTCTTTATTTCCATCATAAAATAAAATGAGAAGAATCCTAAAGAAACTGAGGCAGTAGTGAAGTCACTCGTCTTGTCTAGATACCCATTATAACATGAGTTTGGCATTAAGGGTTGGATGAAGGAAGCATTTGCTTGATTGAAGGCTAGTCCAAAGAATTTTTAAGTGAAATTCTAACTCAATTATTTTATCATGTGGAAGCAAGGTGGGCATAGAAACAACTTTATTATTCTTTAACATTAGATTAATTTTGTGACGACAAATTATGGGAAAATAGTACTTCACCTCTTATATTTTGAATAGAAAAACCCATTTTATATTAAACCATTATAATTTAAAATGCTTGATTTTATTCAAGAAATTGCTATAGATAAGATAGTTTATGAGCAGCAATACGAATATTATAAAAATAAAATAGTAAAAATTTTAGAAAAAATAAGTAATATTGAAGATGATTATTATCTATCTAAGAATCTCAAAAAGTTGGAGCAAATAGTTGCAGATTTAAATGAAGATCTAAAAAGATTAAAAAAGGCCAAGCAAAGATTATCTTTATTAGCAGTCTAGTAGATCTAATTCCACACTTACTAAGCTTAGCATACCAGCTATTCATTAGTCAGTAGTAGTCTGAGTTAAGTTCTGAAAACTCATAGAAAAATCTAGTATCAGAGCCAAGAAACAATAATTTTAAGTATAAAAGTTGTTTTTACAGCAAATATAAATTTGAGGACTAAAATATCAAAACAAATATAGTTAGAGGACTAAGTGTTCTCTAATAGAAAATGAAGTTTTCCATCAAAGATAACAGATTTGATGAAATTGAAATGAATCTGAAAAATAGTAGACAGAATTGGAAGAATTCAAAGATAATAGACGAAACTAAAAAAAAATGTAAAAATTAATAGATGATTTGTTAAATTAAGCCTTTTTTTACTATTAAACTTGGAAGATTTTAACAATAGAATAACGGTGTTTATAACGTGCGTCAAAAAGGAATGACACTTGGCCTTTCTTTAATGTTGAGAGATTATTATGAATTTTTATAAAATAAAAAGATAATGATAACTCCTTTTGTATGGTTGTAGAATTTTTAGTGACTTTAAACTTTTTTTCATTTAATTAGTTTTGAAAATGGTTTTTAAAAAATTTTGGATTGTTTAATTGACAGCCATCTCTAACGGTTGTATGTGTTATTGCCAATGTTTATATGGTACAAGTTATATCAATTGTATTTGTAAAAAATTAAATGAAAAATAACTTAAAATTAAATTATTTTAATAAATATTTTTTTAAAAAAATAAAATACATAATTTTTAGAATAAGAATGTGGTTGCTTTAGTCCTTTTATTGTGATATTTTATTAAAACAACAATGGTAGTTATGAATTTTTTTTACTTAATTTTTTTTATAGATTCAGTTGATAAACATTAATATATATAGTAGAGATCTACTTACACACAAATTTTATATATTATATTTATATAAAATCTTAACAATTCATTTTTTCATTTTTAATAATTGAGATTTATTTACATTTATTAAATATAATTATTATTTTTATTTAATAAATAGTGATAAATCTCAACAATTAAAAATAAAGAAATGAATGGTAAACATTTTGTATAAGTGTAATATATAAAACTTATGTAAAAATATATTTCTTTTCATATATATATATAGAAAAGTAATTTTTTTGATTTATTAATTTAATAATAAAAAATTAAATAAAATTTAATTATTAAATCAATGGAATGTCACTACAATGTATAGAGTTTTTTTGTTTTATAACCCAAATTGTATTGGACCGTAAAAGAGATATTGTTGGAAGAGAAGCTAGGCCCCCTAATATTGGGGATTCTCTAATGTTGGGGACCCTCTCTCATATCTCTGTTATGTAGATCGATGCAATTTGGATTACATAATAATTTTTCAATATATATACATATATATATAGTGACAACTAATTTGATGAAAAATGAACTTTCCAACAAATATTATTCAAAAATGAAATTTATGAGAAATAATTCAAATACAAAAAATAAAAAATTTTAATTTACCTATAATAAGGTACAATGAGTGTAAAAATTCAAAAAAAAAAAAAACATTGTTAATAATGTTTCATAAATTATAAAATTAGAAAATGATTGACAAACCCCCTAATTTGACACTTAATGGGTGCACACTCCATAAAATATATTTTTTAAATCCTTAACCCTGCACCTATTCATAGACTTTTGACTTATTTGTGCATCCAAATAGAATTTAACCCTAAACCTTAACCGCTTTAATTCTCCATCATCCTTTCAGATGTAGCACCATCCCCTCCTTTAGCGTTTGTTGAGGTGTAAGATACGTTGATTGCTCAAGATAAATGAATGGGTGGAAGAAAGGTTGCAGTAGACCCCTTGGAGATTCATCATGAGGTTGTGATTTTTTCCTCTCTCTTCTCAGAAACCAAGTAGTAAAACCATCACAAGAAATTCTAGTAATTAGAAAAGAATCATAATCAGTTCAACTAAAAGATGAACAAGGCAAGATCATAATTCTACAATTAAAATCAGTTCACATTGATTGTATAGAACTACAACAAAATTTCAATATCTTTCATATTTTCTTCAATTTTCTTCGAAACCAAACAGCTAACACCATAAAACCATTTTAACTGATCATTTTGAAGCAAACCCAAAGTTCAATTACCTACAAATGAAATTAATCAATGAATTTTCTATAATTGTATGAATTTCATTAAAAAATCAAATCACAATTAAATCTAGAAAAATCAAATCTTAATTTTCTACTACTGCCTTTGCTGACCTTCATGTTCTGCTACCCTAGCCGTGGGTTGCAACAACAACACCATAAATGGCATATGGCAATACCCATTCACCGCTTCACCTAGATACTGAACTGAACGGTGATTGGCTGGCACAAGTCCAACTGACAAGGATAATTTTGGTATAAATTTGAAAGTTGAGGGACCAAATTGGATTCTAACCTAAAGAAAAAACATGTTTGAATCTTCTTTGATCACAAAATATTCTCAATATTGTCATTAATTTTTTACTCTCATCACTTCACTACTAGAATTAGAGTCTTTTTGGGTCAAGCATAATGATCGAAAAAGACCACATTATGACAGAATAAATAACATTTTGGTCAAGTAAATTAACCGAATTGTTGGCCCGAATATCCTTAGTACAAAATAGTATTTCGGAGAAAATTTTATCTTGACCGAAATATTTCATCAATTCGGTTAATATCATTGATTGAAAAACTCCTTGAAAAAGTCATTTATTAACTATTACATTCGGACAAGCAATTTGACTGAACTAGAGGTGAGGTTTATTTCTGGTATTTGAGTTAACTATTTCAGTCAAGTTTATTGACCGAACACCATGCCAAAATTTAATGAAAATTCACTGCATATTTCGGTCAATAAACTTGACCGAAATATATTGCAGATTTTGGGGAAATATGGCTGAATATTTTGGTCAATTTTATTGACCGAAATGTATTGTAGATTTTGGGGGAAATCACTAATTATTTTGGTCAATTGTATTGACCGAAATATATTGTAGATTTTGGAGAAATTCACTAATTATTTCGGTCAATTGTATTGACCAAAATATATTGTAGATTTTGCAAAAATTCACTGCATTTTTTGGTCAAGTAGCTTGACCGAACTATATTTCCAAATTGGGGGGAAACCGAAGAACTTTCAATGTTTTTCAGTTATTTAACTTCACCGAAATATATTTTCAAATTAAAAAAAACCAAATTTTCTATCAGTGGAGGGAAATTTGAAGCCGATAGAAGGGAAATTTTTCTATCTATTTCAGTTTCAGTCAAGCTACTTGACTGAAATTGTATTACCCCAAAAAAATTCCTAGAACAATTAAGTGTGAGTTAGGGACCTAATTGTGAGAAAATACTATTGTTGAGTCTAATCACAAAATTTTCAAATTTTGAGGGACTTAAAAGAGGAAAATTTTGGATAAGGATGGCTGATTTTTTTTTTCCTTCTTTCTACTTCCTCAGCCGCCCGATTCTGCTCATTCTTCTCCCTTGCACCGAACAAGAGCCCCAGCCACTGACACAGCACCAACCCTTGAGAAATGATAAGAGAGCTTGATTTTTCCCTTCTTTTCTTGTTCAAGAACAAGATTTAGAAGCTTGAAATCTACCCCCTGCAGGAAAATTTCCGGATCTGCTCTGCTCTGTTCCTTCCGTCTGCTGCTCTTCATTGTGTGGGTGTGATTTTCCGGTTTCTGGTAAGGGGAAACAGCCATTAATTCCTTTTTTCTTCCTTGAATTGGCTAGGGTTTACTTAAATTTCTCTTGGTTTCTTCAATTTTTGGTAGATGCCCTAAAATTCTCCTTCATTCCTGTCGGCCTTCCCCAATCTGTAGCTCTGGTTTGCTTGCTGAAAAATTCTGGTATGTGATAGCTTAATCTAAGTCCAAATTACCCCTTTAGTTGCTGAATTTATCCATTTAAATTGCTGCCCTATACTGTCCAAAATTCTGTAGAAATAAGAGAGGAATTCCGGTAGCAATTAGGACAATTTAAGCATTTATTTCATGTAGAATTTATGTGATTGAGTGTTAATTAGCTGCTGTGAGGTTCTGGAGAAAAATCCTGTAAAATTAGCTATTGTTTTGCCAATTTCTGAAAGTTGCAGTTACTATTAACTACGTAATTACTGTTCATAGATACTGTTTACTGTACTGTTCATGAACTAATGGCCAACAATAGGAGGGTTTAAATGTTTAGTTTATACTGAGAATAAAATTGAGATGTCCAGTCATATGGTTATTAATTCTGGAATATTTTGTTTAGGTTTTTGATTGTTTTGTCACCCCAGCACTTAGAGTGAATTTTTTGTGTTATGTGATGAGCTAAGTAAATTAGGGTAACGCCCTTCGATTTCAAAGTATATTTTAAATTGTTTTTGAGATGGTGGTAAGGTTTAAATTGATTTTATTAGCACCGAGCATGATTGGTTTGAAATGGAATTATTCTCATTTTCATTGAGTGGAGCATGCCCACTTGGAATTTGCTTAACTGCCTTGATGATCTGAGAATTTTTATAAATTTTGATTTTCCTGTTAAATCCATGCCCACATGGAGCTTTTCCAGTTTATTCTTGAAATCTGAGATTGATTGTGAATTACAGATTTTTCCTGTAAATCCTGCATGGTTTTGTCTCGGATATAGTCATGATTACTGATTACTATGCTCGTAGTGGAAGGTTTATAAATGATAGCACATGTCAACATATTTATTGATAGGACTGGTTCATTCTGAAATCCTACCAATGGGATAATACATTGGTCATTACTGAAATCCTACCAATGGGATAAAACATTGATTACTACTGTACTTGCCAGTGGGAAGTTTATAAACGTTGGCCATGACTTATAGATGAGACTACTACTGAAGCTTATTTTGCATTAACTGTTTATCATTGAACGTTTTGTTATGTTAAACTATTTATCAGGCATACTTAAATTTTACTCGTGGGCTATCCATATTTTTACTTATTGAGATATTTTATCTCATAGTTTTCCTTGTCCACCATTTCAGCTAGTGAGACCCAAGGCATGGTTAACCAAGGGGAGTGACGAGCTAGACAACTAGTTAGTATTTTGGACTTAGATTTTTTTTGGTTTTGGGGTTTTCGGCGCATGTTTTTGATATATGTGTGCTGTTATATCTTTTTTTTTTTTGTATATTGAGTTTCCCTTGGTTATGGCCATGATCGTTTTATAAACTTTTGTACATCTGGACTAGCAAATTTGTGGAAATCAAAAGTTAGTTATTAACCGAGTTTTAAGATTTAAGTTATGTAAATTGGTAATTATGAACACAGTAAGTTTTGAGTCTTGTGCATTTGTGGGATCCGTTCACGAGTGCACGGCGTTTGTTTTGCTTTTAGTTTTGGGGCATGATAGAAATAGATATCTAGATTTTTTAAAAAATCAAATTATTTAATAAATTGCAAAAAAAAAATGATATACTAATATAATTCACAATTAATATTATTAATTATATATAATTATTATTTATTTAATTTTTTGACCTTTTATGATATTTTAATTATGAGAATAATTATTCATTACTAAATATGATTCAATTTGCATATATATAAGAAAATAAAAACAATTAACAAATATTTTACATTTGTAAAAAGAAGCATCCAAAAATAGAATGCTAAATAAATAAAACAATCACAAATTAAAGCATGTAAAATGAATAAAAATTAAAGAAATAATTAAACAAGATATATATGAATATAAATAAGGTAATTAAGTTAATTACCACAATAATGCTGCCCCACTCTTCACCAAATCAGTGAACCTTTAGAGAGAAAAAAATTCAAATAATTAGTTAGTAATATAAGATAATTAAAGATATATATAAGATAATAAATTTTAGATAATTAAGGAAAATAGAGGTAAAGGAGAATTGGTAAAGAAAAATAGAGGAAAAGGAGAATTGGTAAAGAAAATAGGTAATAATATAACATAATATGAAGGGAAAAACTAAAGAATATAAATAAATTTGAAGAAAAAAATTAAAGCTAAGTATTGATTAATAACTAATAAATAAGATTTAATGAAAAATAAAAGAAAATTAACTATAATTATGAGAAATAAAAGATTAAGAACAGTGTTGAATTTGAAGAAGAAGAAAAGAAAGAAATGAATAAAAGATTGATAACAGATGAAAAGAGTGAGCCATGATATTTATAAATAGGCATGGCATATTTCGATCAAGTATATTGACCGAAATAAATGGCTCAAAATTTTCAAACACTTTCTTGCAAATAAACTAGCAGGAATATGTTTTGAATTCGGTCAAAATGTATGACCAAATTTATGTAGAGGGAATTTCAAAATTTTCCCAAATTTTTCCAGCAATGACTGAGGTAGGATCCTATTTTGATTTATTTTTTTTTTTGTGCTGATTTCGGTTAATCGTTTTGACCAAATTAATCATTTTACCAAATTTAAGATCAATTGTTGACCAGGGACGTGGGATATTATGTTACCCCTTTTTGGTCAATTTACTTGACCGAAATATATATTACATTTTTGTTGGAATTTTGCCTATTTTGGTCAAGTGTTTTGACCGAAATAGGTTGTTAAGTTTCTCACTTATTCTGTATTGTTTTTGCTTTTGTTAAGTCTTCTTTTTTTACTTAATTTGTTTAAAACTTTTTTAGATAAAACTTTTAACAACTATAATGCTCTATATTCAATTCTAAACATATATTAAAACATGTAATTGAAATACATAAATAACAAAGATAACTTAATATTATAATTAAAGTGTCATGACATAAAATACTAATTATAGTTCTATGTCCGATCGTAATCTCATACATGGATAAGGGAAATTATAAAATATATTACAAAATATAGGTAAGTTTGGAAAAGATACTATAGCTCGTAAATAAAATGTACTTTTTCGCATGCCTTATCTTAAGATTTTTTTGAAAATGTTAGACACAAACGACCATTACCTAAAATCTTTGTAATAGTTTTAGAGGACTCAGCATGTCACGCCTCAGAACCCAAATCCGAGGTCGTGGCAGACGCCGTGCACTCGTGAGCGGGGCCCACAAATGCACAAGGCTCGAGACCCTATTGAGTTCTTACTTAGCAATTTAGATTTAAGCCTTTTAATTTACCAAATAGTTACCAGTCAAACGTACAAAATTTATCACTTCATATATACAATCATGACTAACACTAAATTCTGTACACAAAAATTTCTATATCAAGCATGGGTGACTAACGGCTTAGCTACAAAAACCTAAGTCCAAAAGTGCCTAGCCGTCTAACTCGTCACTCCCCCGGGCTTCCCACGCGTCGGGTCTCACTACCTGAAATGGTGGACAAGGAAACCGTGAGATAGAAATATCTCAGTAAGTAAACATGGGGGCCCGACATCAAAGTTTAAAGCATGCCAAATAATCGGTTGAAACATGAA